ACGCGTATAAAAATAATGAAGGATTCAAATCTGATGACAGTTTTTTTTGTGAAGAAAAAGATTTTTAATGGAAGCAAATAAAGTTTTGGTATTATACTTTGGATTGATAATTGACTTTTTTAATTTATTTATTTATATATTTAATAAAAATTTAATTCAGAAGTTAGAAGAATTTTTTTTTTGTAATTTAAAGAAGAAATATGGTGGAAAAAATTGAATAGTTTTTTAGAAACAGAAAATTTACATTTTTATTTATCAAAAGAAGAAATAAGCTGTAAAAATTTTTAATTGAGAATTTGAAGATGTGGAACAATGATAAAAATTTTATTTTATTTAATAAAAGAAGAAATAAGTTGCTAAAGTTTTGAATAATAATTTTTAAGATAGAAAAGTTATAATAATTTTTTTTACAAAGTTTAAAGAAGTTATAACTTGTAAAAGCTTTAAATTAAAATTTTGAGGTCATGAAAAAATGATAAGAATTGTTTATTATAAATGAAAAGAAGAAATAAATTGCAAAAGTTTGAAGATACAAAAAATTGTAAATAAAAATTGTATTACTAACAAAAAAAAGAAATAAATTGTAAAAATTTTTAAAATAAGGAAAAATTATATAATTTGTTATTTTAAATAATTAAAAGAAGAAATAAATTATTGAAATTTTAAATAATTTTTTTAAAGTTAGAAAAGTCATAATAAATTTTTTCATAGAGTTAAAAGAAGTTATATCTCATAAAAGCTTTAAATTAAAATTTTGAAGCTATAAAAAAATCATAAGAATTATTTTTTATAAACAAAAAGAAGAAATAAGTTGCAAAAATTTGAAATCAAAGTTTTGAAGGTACAGAAAGTTGTAATAAAAATTTTTTTATTAATAAAAAGAAGAAATAAATTGTAAAATCTTGAAAGAAAAATTTTGAAGATATGGATAAATTATAAAAATTATTTTTTTTTAGAAAATTTACTTATTAATGTCTTCTTTTCTCTTATATTTTATTTGTAGTCTAAATAAAAATTTTTGAAAGCTATTTTTATATCAAAAAAAATTTTTTTTTATAAATTATAAAAACCAAAAAATAAGATTTTAATTATTTATTGTAAAAAAAAAATTGATAAATAAAAAATTTATAAAAAAAACAAAAAACTTGTTAATTAATCCCGAAGTTTGTTAGTATAATCAGACTTTGACACAATACTTAAAACCTTAAAACCGTCTTGTTATCAAAAAAGTAATCATTGTATTTAAATATCAATTGTAATTGTAAATGTAGCTAAATGATGAAGAGGAAAGAAGTTCTTTTCGGCGGTGGCGGTTTATGGTCCGATAAAGGATAAAGCTAAAATATGCGAGTGATCCGAATTTAAATGAAACAAGATTTTTAAAAGTTGTTCTCTTTGTTGGGACGATTGTATTGGGAGCGAGGTAAATGGTTGTTGGGTGTATGCCGTATCCAAGGAGAAGAGCCTGAGAGCGTTCTGGTGTCGTTTGCAATCGGAGGCACAAAGTGGCTGCATAAACCAACAACCGACATCTTAGGCGGATGCTCGATGCACCAAGAATAATATAATACGACCAAGAGTAAGGAGCAAGGAAGGGCCTCGTGTATAATAGCAGAAAAAGCTGGCCCTTGCCCCGAGACCGAGACCCGAGAAGTAATACAACACCCATACATACTGACCCAACAACATTCATATATGTACCTTCACATCCAGACGGATGATTGCCAATACAAACACCAACAGAGTTTACTTCGCTCTCTACTCCGCGGGCTTATCTTAAGAGAGTCAACTTGCCGCACTGCAGCGTTTTAATTCGAATAAATTTAATGTTGACCAAGAGGTGGCCTTTTAACATTCCTAAGATAAAACCAAACTCGTTGTCGATTACTCGGAAAAAATAGCTGATAGGAATATTATTTTTTATATAAAATATATAAGTTTAATGCCCCATAAATTTCATTTTCAATATTTATATTTAATAATTTTTATTTATGGACTTTTTAATTTCAAATTGCTGTTTTATTTTTTTTTTAGAGGCAGAAATACATTTCTATAACTCAATTTAAAATTTTTCTGAGTGCTTCTTAATTTTTGGACATTTATTTTGAGATTTTTGAAATTGTTAATTGAAATTGCCGTTTAGCGTCTTCTGAGAATTTTAATTAGGTGTTATTGTCGGACACGATATTACTATCGACAGTAAAGTTAAATTTAAGTGCAATATAACTGATGGTAGAACAGAAAATTTCTACCGGTAATTTTTTCTATCGATAATTGGAAAAGAAATTCACGATTTTATTGATTTTTTAATTTAAAATTGAAATTTGTAGATTAAGCTGACAATTTTTAAGTTTTTTTTAATTAATCATAATTATTAAAAAGTTTTTTAATTTTTTTTATCGGATTTTTTGTTTGTAAAATTAAAAAAAGTTTAAAAATTGTCAGATTAAAATTTTTTATACTGTAATTTTGAGCAATTAATTTTGATCAATGCTCTTTTTTTTCAATATTAATTTACTTAAAATTAAATAATAAATAATAAATAAATAAATTATATAAACTGACTTACCCAAACGCCTTGAAGTATTCTTACTAGTATAAAATTTTTATAAAAAAATTTTACTCTTCAAAATTTCACTTCTTCATTATTCATAAAATAACAATTATTCAATATTCAGCTCTTTCTTCACATTCAAAAAAATTCTTCATTTATATTCGATCACACATTCACAAATCTAAAATAATAAATTTTATAAATAAATCAAAAATTGTTAATTTAATTAATAATAAACCTAATATCAAAAATATTTAAAAAATTTAAGAAATCATCAAAATTATTCCAAAAACTAATCTAAAAATTTCTATCAATTTTTATGCTAATTTATAATTTATTTTAATTAAAAAAAATCATAACTAAGCATTTATAAAAAAAATAATAAAATATTTGTTTTTTTTCTTAGAAAAAATTTGTAATTACCCTAAAAAATATAATATCAATTATTTTGACTTTAAAAATATACACCCGCAATTTATTCAATTAATTTTACTTACTAAAATTAAATAAAACCCAAAAAAATAAATTACTTACAAATTCAAGCGCTTTTCAAGAAGAAAAAATTTCTTCTATCACTTCTCATAAAATAATCACCACTGTACTGCTCCCTCACTTACACCGCAATCAAACTCACCAATCACACACTAAAATACAAAACAAAAATTAATTTAACACTTTTAAAAAAAATAAAAATAAATACCTTTGAAGCTCAACTCACCCCTCAGACATATATCTAGTAATAATATTATTTTTATTTATTATTATTTCTTTATTAAGAGTACAATCTTACAGGTGTAAAAGTAATAAAATAATAACCTCGTAAATCATGATTACATCGTGTTTTAGACAATAGATTTATTTATTTATTTTTCATTATATTAAATCGTGATTTGATGTAAATTAATAAAAGTAAACTATCCCAAGCTGCTAATCCTAAGTATTTATTATTATTATTAATAATATTTATTTCATTAATTAATTAATATCTTTCGTTTATTTGTTAACTCTTATTTTATCATTTATTATATATTCATTCATTAATATATATTTATTTATAGTATAGACGATTAATAACTAAACAGATAATATTTTTTTTCGTGCTATTTAAATGAGTCTCATTACATTTTAGGGCACGTAACTTTTCACATCTTCGTGCAATTAATCCGAAAGATCAAACCATTGTATTCCTTAATTATTTTTACTAATTTTTATATTTTTTATTCTTTTTTACTTACTTAGGAGATCATTTATACTTTTTATTAATAAAATTTTATATTTTCTTTATAATTATATTTTTTTTCGTTTCTTCAGAATATAATCAATGCTTTGAACTTTCAAATAATTTCTCGACTCATTTACACATTACGGTCCATATGATAATAATAATAATAATATATATAATATTCATAACTATATTTTAATAATAATAATAATTAATAAATCAATCAATCATTAATTACCAAGTAAAATTTGCAAAATACAATAGATAATTCTAATATATAAATTCATAATCTTTTGTTTATAAATAAACGGTATTATTTTTTTTCACCCTCTTTTTAATACATAGTAAAGATAGATGCCTGCGTGATTATATCATTATTTTATAAATTTTTTAATTTCCATGCTTTTCATTAATTCGTTAAATATTACATTTGTGCCCCTTGCACTAGCTTGAACAATTATTTTTTTTTTATTTTTTTTTTATTTTTTTACGTGACTGTAATATATAATACATATTATATTATATAGAATCTAATTGTTATTATTTCTCCTTTTTTTTATATTTATATTTACAATATATACATGAAAAACCGGCTTAGGTCATTGTCAGGATTATTAAACTGTTTTTATTATTATCATTATTATTTATTTATTATTTAATTAGCTATTAGTTATTTAATAGCAAATATTATTATTATAAATTAATAATAATAATATTAATATACACGGAAAAAACAAGATGACACTGGATACCTTCCCAGATTATATTCAGTGAAAAAAAATTTCAGATAGTAGCTAGTATAATCCAGATGACAATGAGTATAATCCAGATCATAATGAGTATAATCCAGATATCACTCAGTATAATCTGTGTTCTTTCCGTGTAAAAATTATACGGATTATTATCAGACCAATAGCACAATAAACCAGAAATGAATTTCGGTAAAAATTATTGCGATTGCCCACAATTGTAATTAAATTTTTATTTAAATTTATTATTTATTTTATAATTAATTTTTAAACTTGGCCAACCTAGAACTCATTTTTAATTAAATTAACTTAATAAAAAAATCCCAGTAATAATAATCAAGACAATTTTTCAAAAATGAAACTCAAATAAATAAAATGAGTTCCAAAAAAAAAAAAAAAAAAAACAATAAAAAAAAAAAAAAACAATAAAAAATCTTTACCTAAGATTTTACGGCTGGCCAAGAACTCACTCATGCTACGAGTCAAGATCATCCTCCCGTTGGCTACTGAAATAAGAAACTAGGCCGCCGAATTCACCAGAGCCCTCTTCGTCGTACTTCCCGTGGCCTGGATGTCCTGGAGGGTGTCCCGGATGTCCTGGAGGATGCCCCGGCGGTCCGGGAGGTCCATGAGGCCCATGAGCAGGTCCATGAGCAACAGGAACAGGATGCGGCAGCGCATGAGGAGGTTCCGAAGAGTGAGAAGTAGGAGGCGCCGGCGGCTGTGAAGTCTGAGCCGCAGGAGGCGGTTGAATAGCCGGCGATTGAGTAGCAGGATTCTCACTGGACGTAGAAAAGTGTTCCGCGGAGTACGGAGACCCCTGATAGGCCGCATCATCAGCAGTAGTGACCATGGGAGCGGGTGGAGGATAAGCTCCGTAGTGATAATTCGGCGGTGGTTGCGGATGGTAGGGTGAAAAATTGCCTGGAGGTCTATTAGGAGGCGGCGAAGGTTGCTGGAGCGCGTGGTTCCCAGGAGAGGCACTTGTAAATGGCGGTAACTGGTGTCTCGGAGCTAGTTGAGCGTCGGAAAATCGAGAAATCGGGGGCCCTCTGACGTAAGGCGGAGGCGTGGGGCCTCCTTTGGCCAGGGGGCTTCCTGCGGCTGGAATCATGGGCCCACCTCCTAGAGGAGAAGCTCGGTCCCGGCTGCTGATTGAAATTGGTCCTCCTCCAGACGGTGATGGGTCCATGGGGTGGTGAGGCGTGTGGTAGAGCTGAGCTGGCCCCGGAACTCGCATCCTCATAATCGGCGGCGGGTTTCCGGATCTTACAGCCGCAAAGTGCGGCGGCATGGGCGGCTGTCCGGGTTGTCTGGTGTTAAACGGCGAGGGTATTCTTCCTCTAGGAGACATATCGTAGCTGGACCTAGGATTGGGCATCATCGGTCCAGTAGTATTAGGAACTCCGAAGTACTTCTGACCCATAGCCGCTGCAGCTGCTGTGAAAGACTGCGGAGCGTTGGACACTGGTTGTGATTGGAGCATTCGCGTGATTACGGAAGACTGTTGGCTCGGCGGCAGCTGAGAATAAACCGACTGAGGCCCGGGAGGGTTCGACTGAGTCACTGGTAATCCTTGAGAAGAAACTGCCCCCGCGGGCGGAGTTGACGGAGCGGAGCCTGATGTACTGCTCCCGGGAGTGGGAAGCACGTTTGGAATATCATCCTTCAATTCCGGGTCCAGAACAATTCCCGCGGCTTCAGCGGCTTTAGCAGCCGCCTCTGCGGCTCTTGCAGCCTCCATAGCTAGGGTTTTTTTGCCCTTGCCTCTTCCGCGGCGCTTGGGCTTGACTAAAGACCCGTCGGGGTTAAAAAGCTGCCCGTCAGGTCCAGTAATTAATGGGAGGTGTCCCTCAACTGGTGAAGGCCGCTCCATCTCCTGGATCATCACTTCAGGAGGCATTGCGGTTCCTAGGACGGGATTTACCGTCAGAGGAATATTCGGGTCCATTGGACCGGGCATAGGAACTGTTCCAGCACCCATACTGTCGCGGCGCATCTGCTCGGCTAGAATCTCAGCTTTACTCCGCCGGCCGCGCTTCTTCTTCTTTGGAGCTTCTCCGTCGGGACCCTCGGGGGCGTTAGGGTCGCGTTGTTGCTCCGCTGCGAGAATCTCCAACGCTTTTTGGCGAGCTTTTTCAAGCTTCTTTGCCTCACGCTCTTCTTTTTTCTTGTTCTTGGCAATTTCAATGGCTGCTAGCTCCAGCTGGCGTCTTCCGTACTCCTCGTCTTCCATCATCATCTGCTCCAGCTGCTCCTCGTCTAAGTCCGCTAGGTCTGCGGAGCCTAGTCCGGTTAAGGAACCTTCTGGTACGTCGCCCATCACTCCGCCTAAGGGAGAAAATTTAATTAGATTTTTTGGTGGATAGAAAAAAAGACGTCGGGTGTTTTTTAAGCAATAACCTGTACCTCTAAATCAAAAACTTTAACTTTTTTTAATGATGTTAAAACAAACGAAGAAATCCGACATTTAATATTTTAATTTTTAATTATTTTTTTTTAATAAAAAAAAATTAAGTCACACTTGGTAAAAATATTTTTATTATTTTTTTTTAACAAAAAAAAAATCAAGTCACACTTTGAAAAAATATATTTAATTTTTTTTTTTAATTAAGTCACTAAATTATTCCGTCAAAAGCGCAAAAAAGATGAACTTTTTATTTGTGCGTCTTTTTAACAAAAAAAAAATTAAGTCACTTTGAAAAAAAATATTTAATAATTTTTTTTTTTTAATTAAGTCACTGAATTACTTCCGTCAAAAGCTCTGAATTAATAAAAAAAAAATTGAACTTTTTATTTGTGCGTCTTTTTTTTTTTTTTTTTTCTATGTAAAAAACAATTGAAATTAGCCGTCTAGTACACAAAACAGTATCCAAGATACGGGGCTTTAATCCGACCAATGAAATCACTCGAACGTAAAATTGAATTACAGAGGAGTAAAAACAAGTTAAGTAGAAGACACTTGAGGTGTTTTTTTGTTTGATAACACTGAGATATCAAAGTTAAATTAAGGAGATTTGTTTAAGTTGTTAAAAAATAATAATCGGACCACGTGGTGTCTCAGTCAATAATTAGACTGCCGAAATTCCTGTTTTATCAGCCTCGAAAGCCTTGAAAAATCTAAAAAAATTAGAGCACACCTGAAACTATATTTGAGGTGTCATTTTGAAATAAAATTGATTCTTGGAATTTTGTTACTCTAGTTATTTGTAAATAAATTTTTCTAGTTTAATATTTGACTACAAATAGTTTGTAGAATTTTTTTGACTGCTTGAGCTTGATACCGAGTAATTGAGGCTCTTTTCTTGTCTACCAACGGTTAAAATAAAAGCGTGAATTTAATAAGCTAAAGGTACCAAGAATTAAAAATTAATACCTTCTAAAGACATCATTCCGGTCAATGATCGAGGTTTATTTTTGCTACCTGGTTTAGGACCAGGTTTCTTTCTCTGTTTAGGCTCACCATTATCAGTCAATCCTTTTCTTGAGGCTGGACTCTTTTTGGATCTACGATTCTTCGGAGATTTATTCTTTCCTTTTGGTCCGTCCTTCTTTGGCGAATAAATGTCTCCTGAAAAAAAAATATTAAAATTGTTTTTTTTAAATATTTACTCACATTTTAATTTTTATTTTTTATTTATTGAATTCTAATTAATGTTATTTAATTTTAAATAGATTCTATTGATGTGTATTGCCAATAGGCGTATGTTGATTAATAAATAATAAATTGAAACAAAAAAAATTTTTTTTAAATTGAAGTTTTTTAAAAATGAATTTTTTTGTAATAATTTTTTCAACAAAAACAATTTTTAAATGTCAGCTAATTAAATTTTCATGAATCAGCAGACATTTAAAAATTAGGTAAATATTTGCAAGTGGGATCAACGATTTTAATTTTTATTTTTTTGAACGGAATTTCTGTTTGATTTTATTGAAATTTTTCTTTAAATACATAAAAAAAAAATGAACAATTAAAAAAGTTGATTATCGTAATTTTAATTAACAAATTTTCAAAAAAATTTATCAATTTTTTAAGAAAATTGTGATATTCAACTTTTTTTTTTTTAAATTGTTCGATTTTTTATGTACTCTTAAAAAAATATATACTCTTAAAAACATGAGCCAAAATTTTTTCCAACTTACAAAAATGATTTTTTAATTGAAATATTAATTTTCGAAGAAGTTAAAAAAGAATAATGATGATCCATCAATTCATCTATTTTTTATGGCCAAAAATAGATTTGACCCCTCTTGTAAATAATTACCGAAAATTTTTTAAAATAATTTATTTTTATAAAAAAAAATCTATTCCTAAAAATTTGTACTTATAATTTTTCTAAATTTCTTATTAAATTATTTTATAAAAATCCAAAAAATTCTAAAAAGTTTGTCATAAAAATTAAAACTAGTCAAAGATAAAACTAAAATTACCTGAATCAGAATCTTTATCATCATTATTATGATTATCTTCCCCATCATGAACCATAAACTCGTCTTCACTTTCCTCAGTTTTCCTCAGTGCTTTTTTCAGCTCCTAAAACCCACAAAACCCCCACATTAAATAAACTAAATCCTCCCTTTTACCACCCTCAACCTCAAACCCAAACCAAAAAAACTCACCTCTTCACTATCAGACATAATAATATCCACTTGATAATTAATCTTCCGTCCTCTAGTGCGCCTCCCAAGAGGTTCCTCCTCTTCCTGGGGCCTATCATCAGGGAGCCCACCGTAGATAATTTTCCTCCTGATCCCGCTTTTCTTCTGCCTCTTCTTCTCCTTTTTCTCCACCAATTCATTCTCCATAACCGCTGGCTGCTGAACCTGTTCTTGTACCGGATACTCACTAGTAACCTGAGGCTTGACAACTTCAGTCTGGTTATGATTTTCCTCCTCCCTGTCTTCATCAATCACCATTTTGCTCTCCTCATAAACCTGATCCGCAGAAACTGTCGAAACTACCGTAGGAAGAACCACAGGAGGCTCAACAATAGGAAGAGGAACTGGCTGTTCAATTTGAGGTTGAAGAAAAGGTTGAGGAATTTCTTCCTGTTCCATTTCTTCTTCTTTCTCTCCTTCCTCTTCCTCCTCTTCCTCTTCCTCTTCCTCCTCATTATCATTCCCATTATCATTATCATTACCATTATCATCCTCCTCTTCCTCTTCCTCCTCATCTTCTTCTTCCTCTTCCTCCTCTTCCTCCTGTTCCTTCTCAGGTTCATTCTCAACTCTTCCAACATTTCCACCCTGATTAGCAACCACAACTTCCTTCTTCTCCTCCTTTTCCTTCACCTCCTCCCCTTCCTTCTTCCCCACCTCTTCCTTTTCACCTCCATCATCATTACCATTCTCCTCTTCATTCCCTCCCTCATTTTCATTATTCTCCTCCTCACTCTTATTCTCCGGCTCAATAATCCTTTTCCTCTTCTTCTTCTTCTTCGCCTTGCTCTTCGACAGCGCTTTCAATTTAGCAAAAGAAGAAGCCTTACTCTTCTTCTTCCTACTCCTCCAAGAATTATCACTCTCTTCACTCTCGGACTCTTCCTCCCAAGTAGACTTGGACCTCTTCCTTTTCGGCCTATCACTGTCATCACTGTCATCATTAATAAAGTCCTCATCATATCTAGTCTTCCTAGCAGCCCTAGTGGACCTTCTAACAGGCCTGTGATTCTTCTTCCCACCTCTCCTCCTAGAAGCAGTAAAAGAACTATCATCCGAAGACTCCATCTGGTCCTCATAGTCCTCCTCTTCATCACTATCACTCCCCTTAAAATCTTCATCGCTCTCCGGATCATCTTCACTGCTAATATCCAAACTGTTCAACTTCCTGTGTTTCTTCTTAGCAGCAGCTTTCCTCGCAGCAGCTTTACGCTTCTCCTCCGCATCTTCTTCCTCCTCCTCCTCCTTATCAACAGTATAATCCTTATCACTGTCCTTATCCGACTGCTTATCATCCTCCTCCTCATCATCATCATCATTCTTCTTACTAAACGCCTCTTTCCCCTCCTCCTTCTCAGCATTGACAATAGTAGAAATATCCTTCCCCCTGCCTTGATTCCCAGCACCTTGCACCGCTTCAACTTCATCCTGAATCGCAGCATTAATCATATCGTCATACTCATTAAACTTATAACTTGTATTAACACACCTCCTCTCTCTAAGCTGATAAACCGGCTCGCTCTCCTCACTACTAGACTCCGATTCGCTGCTAGACCCAGAAGAAGAACTCGAAGAACTGGAAGGCCCTCTGCGATGATCCCTATCCCTATTATCATCCTCCTCATCAGATTCATCATCCTCATCATCCTCCCTAGGCTGGCGCACCCTATGACTCCTATGCCCGTCCTTCTGCAGCACATTGTCCAAACTAATCCCCACAAAAGCCAGCCGTTTCTTCCTCAAGATCTCATTCTGATGCCGCTTCGCCAACTGATCATAATTCTTCAAACTCTCCCTCAATTTATTAACAAGCAACTTGTGCTGACAAGGCGGACAGAACCAATCTCCTTCAGGAATGAGCATCAACGCAGGCCTTAAACAGGAGCAATGCCACCCCTTATCACAAGTATCACAAAGAAGAATCCACTCAGGATGATCAGCCTTGCCACACTTCTGACAAGCGTACTCATCATCAGCCTCCTCAACATCACTATCAGGTTTCCTCGCAGTCCTCGCTCTCCTCATAGGTTCAAGCTCCTCGTCCTTCTCCAAATCACTCTCAGGCGAGAATTCATGATCGCTTTTAAACAAAAACGACCCTTCACTCTCTATATCTTCCTCAATATCATCCTCCTCCTCCTCATTTTCATTCTCATCCTCAGTACTAGACCCCGAAGAGCTCTGCCAAGGTTTAGCTTCATTAAACTTGCTCTCCTTCTTCTTCTTCTTCTTCCTCTTCTTCTTCTTCTTTTTCGACTCCTTCTCAATTTCCTTAACAACAACAACTTCCTCCTCACTCTCAGCCTTCTTTTTTCTTTTCTTCTTATCAACAACTCCCCCAATCTTCTTCGGCTTAATCGGGTCCAAAGTTTCCTCCTCAATCCTCCTCCTATCAGCTTCCTCCTTAATTTTAATCTGCGCAATCCTCCTACTCTGCCTTACAGGAGCGTCGCTTCCATCAGCAGGTTGGGCATCAGGTTTAATATCAATTCCAATTTCAAGCCCTAGCAACATCCTCTTTTTCTTCCGTTTCTTCTTACTATTATTCTCCTCCAGTTTCTTTTCCTCCACTTTATTCTCAACAGGAACTTCAATAATATCCTGATCAACTTCCTTTTCAACCTCAACCTTCTTTTTCGGAGGTATAACCTTGCGTTTATTTTTAAACCCACGTTTCTTTCTCCCTTTAGTCTTAGCGAAGGTTTTAGGCTTAGCAACTTCCACAATAGTCACTTCATTACTCTCCTCCTCCTCCTCTTTATTTTTCTCCTCCGCTTCATCATCAGAACTAACAGTTTCAATTCTGCTGTTTTCAACAGATTTCCTCAGCGCAACATCAGGAGTTCTTTTTCCCCTCAATCTCATCCTCTTACCACCCGTCTCTTCTTCCTCAACATCCTTCCCAGCTTTGTCCTCAGAATTGGACTCATGATTGCTGTTCCGTCGCTTCCTCGAAGCCTTCAGCGGCGTCAAAGTAATTGTCTCAGTAGAATCCAGCTTCCAGCCTTCGTACTTGTTAACTTCATTAACAGGCTCGACTCTAACAGCCAGATCATCCAATTCTATCTGCTTGGCAACGTCGTCTTCAGTAGTAGCCAGCGGGTCGATTTCCGTCGGCTCAAACGCGCACTCGTTGTCAATTCCCATAGAATCATCCGAATCTTCGTAGCCCAACTTAACATCAGGCGCTGTTAGGTCTATTAATTTAACAGCCGCTGTATTTTCAACTGGAACTTCAATTATTTCATCATCTTCTTCAATATTATTGCAAACTGGTTGAATTTCTGGGACTTTGTCTTTTTTCCTATCTGGAGAAGCGTTCATGTCGTTGTAAAACGTCGAGTCTTCTCTTAATAAATCCGCTCTGGGTCTCAATTTAAGCGGAGCTGGATTTTCATTCACTACCGGAATGTGCGCTCTTTTATTAGCTTCTTTTTTCTCGTCCTCTGGAGCAACTAAGCTAGACTTGCAAACTGACTCGTCAAAAGAATCCTTCAAATCAGCGCCTAAATTTTTATCCAGGTCTATTATTTCTGGGCTTGCTTTGTCCTTGATGTACAAATCAGGCGACACTTTGTCAAGAGCATTCGCTGCTTTTTTGTCATCCAAATTTTTATTGTAGTCATTATCGGCGTTTGTTATAACCGGAGTACTTTCGCTGGCTTGCTGAGTTAATAAAGTATCACTCGATACTTTATTTTCATTAATAACATTTTCAGTTGTTGGTGATTTTGTTAAAACAATTTCGGTTAATTCAGGTTCTGTTCTGGCTCGCTTGCAAACTTGAACAATTGGCTCTTCATCTTCTTTGTTCTCACCTTCGGGGTCTTTATTTGAATTGACTCGCGAAAAATCGCTGCTAATTGATTCCTCAGCAACAGTAATTTCTTCAATTGGCTTGCAAGCAGCTTTATTCTCTGGAACACTAAGTGTATCTAAGGGTTGATCTTTAGGCTCATTTGTTATTATTTCAGGCTCCAATGATTTTTCTCCAACAGTTAAACACGCGGGAGAATCGATCGCTTTTTCTTCCGACTCAAGAGTAATTTTTTTGCTTGAACTCTCCTGAGTGTTCTCGAGATCATTTGTAACTTGTTCAACTATCGACTCGGTAACCGCCGGGCTCTCTTTTGTGTCAATTGATTTTACTGATTCTTTTTCTATAATTTCCAGAGGTTCTGCTTCAATCTGAGTTTCCAAACTTGATTTAGCTTCTGGAATTAAATCTGTTGAGTCTTTTTCAACCTCCACTGTCTTTATTTCTTTTTCCAAATTAAGTTTAATTAATTCAGGCTCCTGAGTATCAATTAGTTTAGATTCTTTCACTGATAAATCAGTAATTTGATTTACTGTAATCTCTTCAACCGGCAAATTTTCTTTAACGAGTTCATTTAATTTAATAGCTTTAGATGAACAAGATTCAACAGTTTCATTTAATTTTACCTTCAAATCTTTTTCAGGCTCTATTAAACAAACTTCTGGACCCACTGAATCTTTAGATTTAATTTCTTCAGCTATTAAATCTTCAACAGGTTTAATTTCTTCAGTTAAATTTTCAACAGGCTCAATGGGTTTGATTTCTTCACTTACTAAATTTTCAACAAGCTCAACAGGTTTTATTTCTTCAGCTAAATCTTCAACAGGCTCAACAGTTTTAATTTCTTCAGCTACATCTTCAACAGGTTTAATTCGCTGAATTTTTTCGCTTGCCAAACCTTCTTCAGGTTCAATTATTTTATCATCTACTGCAGATTCTTTTGGTTCAACAACTTTAACCTCTTGAACAATCGGATCCTCAACAGATTCATTTGATTTAATCTCTGGAGCCGCTAAATTTTCTCCAGAATCACTTGCTTTACTTTCAACAATCGCTTCTTCAGCAGCTTGACTCTTAATTTCTTGAACTTCAGCGGCTCGATTCTCAACTTCTTGAACTTCCGCAGCTTGACTCTCAATTTCTTGAGCTTCAGCAGCTTGACTCTTAACTTCTTGAACTTCCAAATCTACAGTTTCAATTTCAGCGCCTAAATCTTTTATCAATTCTGATTTTTCTTCACCTGCTAAATTTTCTTCAACTTGACTTTCTTTCTCATGAACACTCAAGTCCACCGATTCAACGAATTTAACCTCTTCAACTCCAGAATTTTCACCTTCAATTTTTTCATCAACTAGATCTTCAGCTTCTTTGGAATCTTCCAGCTCCAAACTCTCAGCAGCTTCTTTTTTATCATCCAAAACTTCATGAGTAACTTCAGCAGCTTGGCTCCCTTCTTTATCTTCACCTTCTTTGTCTGCTTCAACTTCAACCAATTCCTTCCCTTCCACTAAACCTTCCTCAGCTTTACCCTCAGTCTCAAGTTCCTCAACTCCTTCAGCACTACCCAAGCCAGTCTCCTCAGTATCAACTAAATCCTTCTTATCTTCAACAGGTACCGTAACTTTTGATTCTTCACCCTTCCCAACCTCTTTATCCTTCTCCACAAAAACATCATCACTACCCGCATCATTGGAGTCATCACTTCCATAATTAGCAACCAAAGAAGTCTGACTCATCAAAAGTGACTTAGTCTCAGCAGATTCGCTGAACTCACTAGCATCTTTACTAGTCGTAGAATCAGCAGCTTCGCAATCTTTACCCTCAGACTGTTCGTCTCCCAAGTCCTTCAAGACATCTTCATACTGAGCCTTCGAAAGTTCAATCCCTGGTTCTAGAGCTTCTGATTTCTCAGAAACAAAGTCAATATCATCTTGAATTTCAGGACAAGCTGACGTAGAAGGTTCAACCACTTCACTAGAATCTACTTCTGTATCTTTATTCTCCTCATTCAAAGCCGACTCAGTTCCAGGATTTTTAGACTCTATTAAATCATCCTTTTCATCAATAACCATCGGATCATTAGAATCCTGATCTCCATACATACTTTGATCTTCAGAAACATTGTAATTAAATGCATCATTAGAGTCATTAGTTTTTTCAATGTCTCTAATATTCTCCAGGTCTTTATCGCTGGAAACCGTCGACTCAACCATCGACGGCTCTTCACTTTGCATTGAAACATTCGAAGATTCTGGAATAGATGACTCAGACTCAGTAATAGAAGATTCAACCGGAACTTGATCATCCTTAACCAACACTTCCGGAACTGTTGACTCTACTGTCTCTACAGATTGTTCCAGTTCAGAAGACTCAGGAACACTTGACTCAACTGCCGCAGCAGCTGATGGAGATTCTTCAACTAATTCAGGAATCGTAGACTCCACGGTTGCTTCTTTGGTCTCTAATTTATCTACCTCTTCAATGCAACTTGATTCTTCAGGCTCCACATCTGCTTCAATCTTCCGAGAACTCTCTCCCGAAGATTCAACCTTGTCTTCAGGCTCAAGAACCTTTTCGTCAGTACTGGACTCGACTTGATCAACATTCATCACTTCCTCAGTATTAGAATCAACAATTTTATCCTCAGATCTTGAACTTTCCTCCAAACTCACGTCCATAGATTCACCAGTACCTTCCCCAAGAGTACCTCCAACACTAGAGTCAACTTCTTCAGGTTTCTCAATTTTATCTGAAGTAGAACAAACTTCAGCCTCAGTTGAAGACTCCGGCTTGTTAACACTGCTGCTAACAGGTTGAATTACCGAGTCTGCCATATTCTTAACATTATTATTGTCCACAAATTTATCATCATTTTTAACCGAGGAAGACGTAGCTTGATCTCGTTTTCCAGGACTAGGAGTGTAAGATACACAATTCGGTCCAAAAAAAAACCTTGGAGATTCATCCTCTCCCTCACAATTTTTCTCTACATCCATGTCCATTTTTTCCTCTCGAGTCTCATTAACTGGTAAGTTATTTCCAGGCACAACTACTGGTAAATTACAATCAGTAGACATACTTTCAACACTTTGATTAGTAGTGCTGCTAATAGTCTCTGTCTCTAATTTAAACCCACAAGATTTAACGTCATTAGATTGATAGCCAGTGTCATTAACAACTGGCTCTTCTGATATGTTATCTTCATTGGATATGCTACTGTCACACTCTAATTTATCATCAGGTCTTCCTACATCCCACCTGCTAGTCCTTTTAGCCGAGCACCCAGGAGATTTAACGATCACCTGGACCCCTAAAGTAGGCTTGAACTTTCCTTTAGGTGACTCAGAAGACTCAAATTGACAATTACTAGTGACAGGATCCAATTGACAGTCATTATTTAATTCTAAAGGCTTACTAGTACTAGTACTAGTCTCTGGACAATTCGACACACCAGCAACATCTCTCTCATTATCATTATTTAATTTAGACTGTGAAATACCAGCAGACACCTCACTGCACCCTTGCCCATTTTTTGATTGACTACCACTAGAATCTTTACTCCCACCATCAGAAGATTCATCCCCGGGATTTCCAGTATCGCAATCCCTTCCAGCGCCTTCTCCATAAAAAAACACCACAGGTTCTTCAATAGCGTCTCCAACTTCTTGATTCCCAGCATCGCAGTCACTACCAGAGCCCTCTCCGTGGACCATCATCAAAGGCTCTTCAATAGCAGGTCCAACAATGTCCTCCCGACGCAATCCCATGCCCAGAGGAGCTTTTTTATCAATAGGGCCGCGCATTGCTCCCATCGACAAATCAGCGCGTAATCTCTTCAGCATATCTTGCTGAGTTTCATCAATTTCTAACGCGCGTTTAACAGCACCGCTGCGCATCGAAGCCAGCCTACTGGGGTCCGGAAGGATTGTATAACTCGGCAATCTGTGCTCTTCTTTGCTTGGCAGTCTTACAACCGGAGGATTGTGGTAAGCTACACTGGGCATGTCATAGCCAACAAACGGCATCTGCCTTTTGCTTAAATCAGCAATCATAGAATGATTCCTCAGTAAAGAATCATAAGCTGGACCAGCTAAGTCCGGTTTAGATTTCCGGGTGCTCAAATCCATCTCACGGTACTGATGAAACTCCTGCGCGCGATAACCCGAAGGTAGCGGCTCTACTATAGGCTTAGATTGCTTCCGACTAGACAAGTCCATTCCCGAAAAATCAACCGGTCTTTGCTGCTTATGCTGCTGCTGATGTTGTTGTTGATGGTCTATAGAATTGTCCCATTCTCTAGAAGTCGACAAATCAATCCCACCTCTTAAAGATCTAGACGAACCAACAATCGGATGTTTTTCTTGAACGTTTAATCTTGATATAAAATCAGAAGGAAATTTATTTTTGTCATCATCGTTAGACATGACATTTGTTGGATGAGAACTGCTGGATCTTGCTAAATTTTCAGCTATTTTTTCCAGTAACTTTGACGCACTGGGCTTCTCTAATTTTTCTGACTGCATTCTTACCAAATTAGCGGCTAGTTTATCGATTGGCTTCAAGGGAAATTTCCCGTGATTTAAAGTAACTTCAAGAGCGCTGTAAGGCAGCGAACTTTTACTCGGTAGTTTTTCATGAGCTTTGATACTAGGAGCAAGCTCTCGCGCTTTAGAGTCTTCTATAAGACTCGGTGGAGGTTTAACAGCTGATATCGTAACAGAGGTTGTTAAATCCGCTGTAAAATGCTTAGGCTCCGGCGGAGGTACTAATTTCAACGGCGAGGTAATTACCGGAGTCTCTATTGACTTGAGTGGTGTTACCTCGATAGGATTTTTAATAACCGAGGGTTTGTCTTTAGGAACATCTTTTTCACTGACCGTCGCAGGTTTACGTTTGGCATTTACAGGATTATCGTTTACAGGCTGAGTTATTTTATTAGACACGGGCTTTAAATTTGAATTCACCGGAGGAACATCTTGGGAACCGTCCTCTTCGGTGTTTTGGGTTGATGCGTCATTACTCAGTTCCTCGTCTTCTTCCTCCTCCTCCTCCTCCTCTTCCTCTTCTCCTTCTCCTTCTTCTTCTTCTTCATCCTCATCCTCCTCATCATCATCATCATCATCATCATCCTCCTCATCTTCTTCATCATCTCCCTCGCTGTCATTTTCATCGTCATTAACATTGACTCCATTATTGACAACCGCTTCGCTGGTCTTCTTGTTCACCTCAATCGCGGCAGGTTTAGCTAATTTAACCTCTTGGGTGGTGGGATTTTTAACACCCTGGCTTTTGGCATTAGAATCACTCGCGTTACCATTTTCGACTGGTGGTTCTTGTTCAGCACTTGGTGAAGACGTTGCTGCTTGACCGGTGTCAATTATCGGCTTCTCAGAGACCTCCAGGCTATTACTGTCTTCATTTGTCAGTAGAGATCCAGCTTCTCCGGCTGTTAAGGTGTTAATAAGCTTCACTACACCCTCGCGGTCACTAAAAAAATTTTATTTTATTATTTAAATATTTTTTTTTATTTTTTTATTAGAAACTTACGTCGCTACCAATTCCCAGCTCTCTTCGTCTATATCTTCACGATATACTCTTATATTACAATCGTCGTCTAACTGGAACCAATACGCTAGACCCGTTTTGTCACGTCCTAATGGCTCAAGTCGGAGTTCACTTGCTGGTTGTTTATTTACGTCATTTTTAAATCTTTGATTCGAGTCAAATTGAGTTTCTAAAAGCACCTATAATTAAAATTAATTTTATTTTAATTAATTAACATAGAAATTTTAATAAATGAAAAATTTTATTGTAAAAAAATAATTTTGAAGTATTTAAGTGAATTATTTTAAAATATAAAATTTAAGTAATAAAGCAATAGACTTAAGTGTTATCAACAAATAATATTTTTAAATGTTTATACTAACTAAAAAAGTTAAAAAATGTTTGAAATTTTTAATAATTATTACCTTTTTAAAATAGATTAAAATTTTTACTTTCTAACATTTATATCTTAAAAATAAAAAAAAAAAAAAACTTGTATAAAACTGTTAATTTATGCAAATAATAATAATAACAAAGAAGTAGACTGATTTACAATTAAGAATTAGTTACAAATGTTTTTTACAACTGAATAAATAAAATGAATGGATAATAGAAATAAATGAATGAAGAATTAAAATAATATTTGTACTATATAATTAAAAAAATTTTCAATTCAATAAATTTAGCTCAAAGTGTATTAATGATTGATTGATAATTTTTAAATAATTTTTAATTACCTTGAGTAAGCGTAATTTAACACTAACACGAGCTTTTTTATATCCAAATCTTTCAAGCTCCCAGCCGTCCTGATTTGAGTATGTATGACAAAATTTAACTAAAACTCGTTCCCACTTTTCTGGATGAACAGTCTTCTTCATTTTTCTGAGTAGTTTCACGTGAAGATCTATCAATTTTTGGGGCACTGAAATTAAAAAATATTTTTTTTTATTAACATTTAAGAAAAAAATAAGCTTAATAAATTTGGAGTAAAAATAAGCGGGAGCTTCTGAAGTAAGTAAATAAAAATTTATAAAATTAATTTAGCAGATTTTTGATCATTTTTTAAATTTAAAACAATTTTTTAAATAATTTTTTTAGGAAAAATCTATTTGTTGAAAAATATTAAAAAATTGTTAACTGCAAAATTTAATGTCATAAAAAATTTACAAAATTTTAAGTATAAATTTAAATAATAAGCAATTAATTTTTTTAATAAATAAATTATGGCAAAAAATGTAGAAATTAAAAAAAATAAAAAATACAATTTTTTTAAAATAATTTTTGGAGAAAAATTTATTTGTTAAAAATAATTAAAAAATTGTTCTGTTAAATTTAATGTCATAAAAAATTTACAAAATATTAACTAAAAGTTTAAATAGTCATCTTAAATAGACAAATTTTTTTAAATATTTTGGAGTAGATAAATATAAAAAAAAACAAATAAATAAATGGTCATCAGTCATAAAAAGTTTAACTCTAATGCCGCGCTCCAACAATGAAAACACCGAGCAAAATAAATAAATAAATAAACCAAAAAAAAAAAAAAAAGAAGACAAATAAAAATAAATATAGCAATAAATAAATATGAGTGACCACCAGAGTGCAGCGGCGTTTGCATACTGCACTTTGGGCGGCAAAACACTATGAAATAACAATTTACCAAAGAAGATCCAATGAGCAAATGATAATATACACCAGCAAAGGTAGATGCAACTACACTGACGTGATTGACTTGGCAGTAGGTAGAAAAATAAACTTTCAACCCAAAAGTAAATAAATAAAAAAGTGATTTTTAAAAACCTACCTTCATGAGTATCCTCTATCATTTTCTGGAGTGTTTTAATATCCGGGTACTCTATCCCACATGATTTGCCAAAACATTCAAGAAACGAGCAGATCACTGCAAAATTTGGGTCACTCACGCAGGAGGCTTCGTTATCGGACGCCATTTTTATACCGCCTTCGAGGCTGCTGTAGCCTATGTGTCTCTCTCTCACCCAGGAGACTCTCTAGCGGGCTGTCTCTCTCCCTCTCAGTGTTGCTACTACGCTAGACGGCCTGACAACTCATGGTGGCTCTAAACTAGCACCCAGCACTGCATAACACTCCAATTTTACATCCCACTATTATTATTAATCACTACTGATAATTATTAAACATCAAATGTTAATATTATTGTTTCAATTATTAATATTAACTCGACTAATTATTTTAATTTTAATTTTAATTTTAATAATAACACACAATATAATATGTCAATATTTTCACTCAACTTCTTGATTATACTGAGCTCGTATGTACAGTACGAGATAAATAGCCAAGGTAGGTATAATATAAATGTTAAATCAAACATCACACGCGGGAGGAGACGCTAACTCTAAACACTAGACGCCGTTCCGTCACCGGCGAACAAACGGTGGCCGCCTAAAATATTTTTACAATAATCTAATATATAATAATAATAATAAATGTACATAAACAACAATAAATAATCACGAGGATTATTTATCTGGTACTCCTTACTCCACACCCCTTTAGCAACTCCACAACCCCCACGAGCACGTATCCTCTATCCTTGTCACTTATCAACCTCTCTTTCTCTGACTCTGACACCTAAAACACACACAGACACACTAACCATCAGTATAAATTAATACGCACACATATAAAAGTATCTTACCACTCACTTTTAAACTCTCTCACTTCTTAACTCTCTTTCTCAGTTGTTATGTGTTTAGTTTACTCTTTTTAACTCCTGATGAAAAGTTAGGCGACATCTAAAAATTTTTATTCAAAAAAAATTAAGTTAGCCGACATTTAAAATTTTTTTTTTATTGAAAAAAAATTTTCACTTGTAAAAAATTGTAAGTGTAATTTTTAAAAAATATTTTTTTGTTATAATTTAATGATTAAAAAACAAAATTGAAAAATTATAATTGCAATTTTTAAAAAATATTTTTTAATAAATTAAAAAAAAAAAATAAAAAATGTTGGCTAACTTTATTATAATCAACTCCCGCGGTTCTTGAGCACCACGGCACACAGTACACAGCACACAACTCCAAAAGATCACACATCACACTTCTTGGCGCTTTCTGCGTCGTCTAGTTCTCAGTTCTCTAGTAAAACCACACTCGTGATATATTATGTTGTATATACATTACATATATAAATATATATATATATATATATATATACACTTAAGCATTTATTTTTTTTTTTTCTTTACTCACAATCTTACACTTGAAGAAGAGGGAGAAAATATTAATACACACCACGTTTTATTTTTTAAACTTGTCAATTATTTTTTAAAAAATTATTATTATTATTTTTTAAAATATTAATATTATTATTATTTAGTAAAGAACGCGCAAGAGCAAGTTATTTTTCAATTTCGCCGCGGTTATTATCTATTCTATTCTAAATATGAATGATGTAGAGGCGCAAAATCGACGAGTACGATCCCCCTCAAACCGCTTACTGGACATTGCCGCTCACAGTGATCGCCTTCAGTCGTTATACGTTATGTTGCCTGATGTTGTCGTTGGTGTCTCTGTGATGCTACTGGCTACCACTTTGGGGTTCTCAACTTTAAATATTTATCAACATCAACAACACTGATAATATTTTTTTTAAATAATTTAATAATTAATTTTGAGGTTATTTTTACTTGTCAAATTATTATTATTATTATTTAATATATTTTTATGTCACATATTGTAGATAAATTTAATATTTTTTGTACATATACTGAAGTACTACGTGACGGACACTATAATATAACCAGCACTCCCGAGAGCAAACGTCACTTTCAAGTGGATTAGAGAGAGACAGAGTGTAGAGAGAGAGAGATTATCTCTCTCCCCTCCGGGGATTTTAGTCCATACACAAACTGTACAAACTGTCTGCCTCTCGCTCACTAAATATTTTTTGGCTATAGTGTGGGCCTAAAGAGAGAGAGAGAGAGAGAGAGAGAGTGTGCGCTGGTGTTAGTGTTTTACAAGAGATTGACAGAGACAGAGACCGAGCAGTTGATGTGCTTTCGTAACTGCTTCCGTAAGTTATCGAGCGAGGAAACTACGATCCCGGTGCTCAACTTACACTCCGAATTGTGAATTTATGAAAAGAAATTAATGGATAAATATGAATGTAATTTGCGCGGGATTTTAATTATAATTTGAGGAAGAAATGAGAACCTTTGTAGCTTTTTTTTTATTTGCGCATTTTTTTACGTTGTAAAATTATTTAGATGTAAAAAAATATTTTATAAATGCAATTTTTTTTAAATTTAACAATTCTTATAGTTAGTATTTATAATTAATTCATTAAGATTAAATTGTTTGTTTTTTTTGTACAAAGCGGTCAAGACTGAGAATGGTTTTTACAAAATTAAGACTTAGAAACAATTTTAGCGGTCTTGTAATTTGTAATTAGAAATTATGAAAATTAAATTAGACATTTAAAAACTTTTGATTTTTTTTTTTTTTTAATTAAAAATTTGAAGTAAGAAACTATTTTTAAATAGTTTTTAAAATTTTCTACGTGTGAACATATTTGTTTTAATTTTTTAATAAAATAAATTTTCCAGTGTCAGATAATTTTGAATTTTCATTTAGAAATGAAAGTTAAGTTAGCTAACACTCAAAATTTTTTTATTTTTTTTATTAATTACAAATTAGAACTAAAAAAACTATTTTTTTAAAATTCCAAGTGTAATTTTTCAAATTTTCTACATATGAAATTTTTTTTTAATTTTTAATAAATTAAATTATAAAAATTTTTAAATGTCAGCTAATTTAATTTTTATTTAAAAATAAAAATTTAATTAGTCAACACTCAAAAATTTTTGACTTCTTTTATTAATTAAAAATTGGAACAAAAACCCTATAATTTTACGTACAATTTATAATATCATAGTTAGCCGAAGTTTTTAATTTTCTTTCATTTATTAAATTAAAACAAAAAAATTTTTTTCAAGTTTTTTACAAATGAAATTTTTTTTTATATTTTTCTGTAACAATTATTTCAATAAAAAAAATTATAAAAATTTTCAAATGCCGGCTAATTTAATTTTCATTAAAAAAAATTTTTTTACTATTGACAGATGAGCTTGCAATAATGATCTTAAATTTATAAATAAAAATTAGCACTGTACATGCGAAGCTGTGGTTACAAATCACCCGGCGATTGGATTACTCAAACAGCAAATTCAATAATATATAATTATAATAACTAAATTTCACGCACCGTATGACGATCAATCACTTAAATTTTGTTAAAGTATTTACATTTTATAATATAATAGATATAAATTTAGATCTGAACAAAAAAATTCAACAATTTTTTTAATCCAATTTATAGAAAATTTAAAAAGTATTAAAATATTTATTTATCTCTAATTATTACTCTTAATTATAACACTTTACAGAAAAAAAAAGAATCACTTGGCAGCATTTGCGGCCATCATATCTTGCAACTGTTGTCGCAAAATTTTCGCCTCCTCGGCTTTCAGTTCAAATTGCTTTTGATACTCAGCGGCTTGTCTTTGCGTTTCAATTAATCTTTTATTCAACGACGCAACGTCTGTCAATAATTCGATCCCATTATTATCATTAGGATCAACAGCTTCCGCTATTTCTTCAATTTCGTCATCTAATTGCAAGACAACCGGGTTCGAATGCTCGACATTTTTTATTTTTCCCAGCTGTATTGTATTTTTCTAAAAAAAAAAAAAAAATAATAATAATAATAATAATACTAAATTTCAATTAAATAAATAAATTAAAATCTCTAATTAAATTACCTTTTGATAAATTTTTGAAAGCCCCGATTTATTTGTTTTTATCGTGAGATTATTAGAAACAGGCGTGAGATAAATTTTTCCAGATTTATTGTCATTGCTTCTTTTCAATATATTGGGTCCTCTTGTCGTTATAGGAGAGGTAAGTTGATCAGCACTTATTGCTATTACTTTTCGAGGAGTGTTTTTTTTAGAATTAACATTTATCCTCGCGATACCTAAAGGCTGAGTTCTTGTTGATTTCAAAGCTTGTCTTCCAGCTTCTGTAATTAAAAATAAATTATTTTTATAGAAAAAAAATTTTGTGGCCAGGGTATTTATATGATAAAATGGATTTTTATGGTTAAATTTGGTATCATTAGAAAGGTCTTGGAGTATTTAGGCTGCATTCGAAAATGCTCTATCTCTAGATACATAATTAAGAAATTACCTTGTTTCTTGTGAACTATTGACATTTTTAAAGATATAAACTCATCCCGATGTTACACTCATCAGGACCTTTCATTTAAGTACCCACATCAGTTTTTAATATATTTATATATATTATATATATGTATATGTGAAAAATATATCAAAAATGCATGTGGGTACTCAAATGAAAGGTCTTGATGAGTGCAACATCGGAATGAGCTTATATCTTAAAAAATATCAATAATTAAAAAATGACCTTGTATCTTGTGAACTATTGACATTTTTAAAGATATAAGCTCATCCCGATGTTACACTTATCAAGCCCTTTCATTTGAGTACCCACATCAATTTTTCATATATTTATATATATTATATGTATCTATATATGAAAAATATATAAAAATGCATGTGGGTACTCAAATGAAAACTCGTGATAAGTGTAACATCAAGATGAGCTTATATCTTTAAAAATGTCAATATTTAAGAAAGTACAGTGCAATTTAACAAATGTCATTATTTAATTAAACAAAATTTTATTTATTTATAGTTCACAAGTCACAGCAGTCACATAGTGACTGCACAAAGGTACTATTTTTTATTAAAACAAGATTTATTAAAAAATTTACCTGTCAGTCTAACAGTCCTTCCACTTTCTATAGCATTTTCAACGATACTCGCTTCATTGTCCATGGGTATCATCGTAATACCATGATGAGTCTGAAGCCACTGCAGAGGCTGTTCAATACTACCAAATGAATTTAAATCCAGGTGTTTTTTAAACGTACTATTCTCAATGCTATGTATCCGTTCTTCTATTTCAGCTTCGTTGTCTTCTTCGTCCTCGCTCGAAGGAGTCACGTGGATTTGTTGGAAGACCATCTTCTGCTTTTTCGGAGCTTGAACTGTAACATATTCACAATTATTAATTTGTACTATATTAATAGTATATTACGTAGCTAGGCCAGTTATACTATTTTTAATTAGCTTACCTGGAGAAACTTTATGCGATTGAGAGTGAAGCGGTTGATGAATTTCATATCGCTGTTGCAGGTCTTGCTCATGATTATCTCCTGGGTCGGTCTGCTCTATTTTGACAATATTATGAGATCCTTGCTCCATTTCCTCATGATGAGGACTCGAATGCGGCTGGAAACTGACTAAGTCACGGTTCTGCTGCAGCAAGTTTACGAAGTCAGTTCTACCGCGCTCGTAGGCAAGGCTCACTGGAGTTTTTTGAAATTTGCTGAGAGCATTCGGGTCAGCTCCGTTTTCTAGCAACAATGCGATTACATCCGGGTGCTCTTGTTCTACTGCCCAATGCAGTGGTGTCATTTTTAACTATTTTAAAAATAAATATATCAATTAATTAAAATTTTATTTCAAATAAAAATTTTTTAAATAATAATAATGCACTTTATTAAATAAAATTATTATTATTATGATCTATATTATTAAGAGAATAAGCAAAATTGGAGTTGTCCCATAAAGAAATGACCTTTTATCTTGTAAACTATTGAAATTTTTAAAGATATAAGCTCATCTTGATGTTACACTCATCAAGACCTTTCATTTGAATACCCACATCAATTTTTCATATATTTTATATATTTATATATATTATAAATATGTATATATGAAAAATATATCAAAAATACATGTGGGTACTCAAATGAAAGCTCTTGATGAGTATAACATCAGGATGAGCTTATATCTTTGAAATATATATTGTATATATGAAAAATATATCAAAAATTCATGTGGGTACTCAAATGAAAGCTCTTGATAAGTGTAACATCGGGATGAGCTTATATCTTTAAAAACATCAATATTTAAAAAAGTACAGTGCAATTTACTAAAAGTCATTAAATACAATAAAGCAAAATTTCATTATTTATGCTTCACAAGTCTCGGCAGTCACGCAGTGACTGCGAGGTTGCTAGTTATTATTATTATTATTACTTTAAAAAAATATTTAATTACCATATCACGGCTGTTGACATCAGCACCGTAATTAATAAGTAATTGAACCATTGTAAAATGACCTTCGTAAGCAGCCATGTGCAAAGGTGTCCTGTCAACCTTCGTTCTAGCATCTCGAGAAATTCCAGCTTTTAATAAAACTTCAGCCGTCTCTAAACGATTATTCTGAGCTGCAAAATGTAATGCACTTGTTCCCAACTAAAAATAAAATTAATCAATCACTTTAATATACATTATTTAATTTTTAATACTTAAAAATTATATATTTCAAAATAAAAAAACAATTTCTGACTAGAATTTAATTAGATAAAATAAAAAGTATTTTCTACTTGATAAACATACTAATAAAAAAAAATAAATTCCTTCTCTGCCATATTGAACAATTTAAATAAAGCATAAAATATCATCAAGTTGTTTCTATACTAATAAATAATAAAAAAAAAATAAAATAGAATTTTATCATACCGTATCTGTTGTAAAAGGAGCACCACGTCTCATAAGACTTTTAATTGTCTCAGTATTTCCATCAGCAGCCTGGGTCAGCAGTAGCTGGCCCAGCTGAACTATAGAAGATGAATCCTGAGACTGTGTTTGTCTCGTCACAATTTTCGGCGGGTTTTCACAGTAAAGAAACTCCACCTAAAAAATACAAATTAATTAAATAACTTCTTAATTAATAAATATTATTAAATAAAAAAAAACTCACCGGAATAAAAGTTTCACCATCAAATGGCTCAATATCATCACACATAGCCTCTTGCATGATTTTTCATCAATGTCCAGGTAAAAAAACTGTAAAATAATCTCCAATTTATTTTCTAGAAATTAAATTAAATTTTTTGTCCTTAAATTTGTGGAACAATTTATTTAAACAATTATTTAGTGTCATTGTTAAACAAAAATAGAACCGAGCTGTATCTGATAAATGATCAGCTGTCATGGTAAAGCAACTTGTGAATAATTCTTATGATAATTAAAAATATTCCACTACACTTTTTAATTAATTTGTTATTTTATAAAATAAATAATATCAGCTGTTATTATAAATAATAATTCGAAAAGATGAATTGCACAGGATGTTTTTATTTAGCCATCTCTGAGACTACTGACGAGAGATGAACTTCCTGTTCCTGTTCGATTATAAACGGAAGTCCCTTGCCATAGGCTCGGACATTTTTGTCAAACACACGACACACTATTTACCAACAACGTAATTGTAGACAAGTACTTACATGAGTGCATTATTTTACAATAAATAAGTGGTGTTGATGCGGAGTTGTTGGTTAGTTGAATTCGCTGGCGTTCACAACCTGCAATGATTTTATGTTGATGATCAAGTGTTAGATGTAAAATGGCGGACGCTTCGCGCCAACACACGCCAAGTTTCCGATTTATTTGAAAATTTATTTTTATACAAACCTGATTTTTTAATTTATTTTTTTTTTTACAATTATTGATTGGTTGATTTTGTAAGAATATTCCATTCTTGATCACTTTTTTTTTAATCATCATTGCCCCAATATTTGCTGAATGTGTTGTAGAACTTTCGACCGCCGCGAACCTACTGGCGGTATTGAGAATTAATTTAATTGCTGCAGTTGTGGTAATTTTAAATTTCACGACCGGTCTAGTCGACGCGATAAATATATCTAGTATTGATAATTTATTAATTAGCTTGTTTTGTTGTTTTTTTTTTCATTGTTTAAGTATTACTTACTTACATTGTATGTATTGTTTTTATTTATTTTATTTTACACTGAAGAAAATATTCAAATATTAGCAATAATTTTTTATTTTTATTACAAGTTTATTTTTAAGTTTTTTATTTTATTAATTGAAAATTATTTTTTAAGTAAAAAGTTAATTATAAAAATTTAATATATTTAGAAAATTATTTTATTTCTTTAAATAAGTTTTTTTTTTCTTAAAATAAAATTAGATTATTAAATTTTGATTAAAAACAGAATTCTGATTTTAAAAATTATTAAAATAAATTTTATAATTACTTTAAAAGTAAAATAAAAAAAAAAACTTGATTTTTTATGTGAGAAAAAAATTATTTGACTTTTTTAAGCAGATAAAAAAGAAGATTGAATAGCTTTTGTTAAATTGCACTGTACTGTCTTTAATATTGATGTTTTTAAAGATATAAGCTCATCCCGATGTTACGCTCGTCAAGAGCTTTCATTTGAGTACCCACATGCATTTTTGATATATTTTTCATATATACATATTTATAATATATATAAATATATAAAATATACGAAAAATTCATGTGGGTACTCAAATGAAAGGTCTTGATGAGCGTAATGTCAGGAGGAGCTTATATCTTTAAAAATGTCAATATTTCACAAAATAAAAGGTCAATTCTTAATTATTGACATTTTTGAAGATATAAGCTCATCCCGATGTTAGACTCATCAAGAGCTTTCATTTGAGTATCCACATGCATTTTTGATATATTTTTCATATATACATATTTATAATATATATATATAAATATATAAAATATATGAAAAATTGATGTGGGTACTCAAAAGAAAGGTCTTGGTGAGTGTAACATCGAGATGAGCTTATATCTTTAAAAATATCAATAATTCACGAGATACAGGTAATTTCTTAATTATTGACATTTTTTAAGATATAAGCTCATCCCGATGATACACTCCTTAAGAGCTTTCATTCGAGTACCCACATGCATTTTTATATATTTTTCATATATACATATATGTAATATATATAAATATATAAAAAATTGATGTTGGTATTCAAATGAAAGGTCTTGATGAGTGTAACATCAGGATGAGCTTATATCTTAAAAAATGTTAATAGTTCACGAGAATACAAGGTCATTTCTTAATTAAGTATCTAGAGATAGAGCATTTTCGAATGCAGCCTAAATACTTATCATCATAAATTGACTATTGGTGAGAATGATATGAAACCTTGCAAAGGCACAACTCAAGACCTTTTTAATGATACCAAATTTAACCATAAAAACCCTTTTTATTTTATAAATACACACTTTACTTATTCTCTTAATAATATAGATTAAAAAACATTTTTTATCCTTCATAAAATTTTTCAATAATTCACCTTTAAAAAATTGAATAATTTTTTTATTAAACAAAAATTAAATCATTTAAAATACTACCCTATAAAATTATAAAAATAAGTGATCAAAAAAGTCTATTAGTATTTAAAACTCAAAAAGAAAAAAAAAAGAACCGTCTGAATGAAAACATAAAAAAGATTTAAATTGAATACAATAAAAAAATATTTTCATTTATAGGTATTGTAAGCCATTTAATCTGTTGAGTATATATAGATAAAAGTATACATCTATATCGATATAGAAATCCAGATAGTTCGATTCAGTCTGCAGTAGTTTGTTGCATACAGGAAATTGCAATGCCTCTCCCTTATATCCCGGTGTTAGTATTTCTACTACTCTTGTTCAAAGCAGAATCACCCTTGTGGTGATTTACACCCACTAGTGTACTACATAATACCGGCGTGTGTGTTTTTCCCTGTTCATTTGACCCAGAATCGCCGGCCAGACTCGAGCTGGCTGAAGGGCTCGGCTCTCCGTTACTCAACTATCGATAAAAAAACTCAAATAAAAAACCATTTAACTCAAACAAACGTTAATCGAATATTTTTACAGCTATCAACTGTTTCTAATAACTCAAACATCCTCTCGTAAACAATTAGTCCTCGCCTGCATTCGCATTCGCTCACTTTTTACGAGCTTACATGCAAATACTTGCTAAATATTTAAAAGTTATGTCATTTTACTTTCTCAAAAACTTACAACGCTTTTAGTATTTATTTTTTATTTTTTATTTTTAGTAGCTCGTTTTTTCTTCTTTTCATCCAACCGATATGGCCCCAACTTTCGTCGTACCATAACTCCGCGCCACCAGGATTGGATCTTAATCGAACAATTTCTTCTGTAATCTTCCTTTTCTTTTTGCACTCGCTTAGCTTCTTTTTCAGCAAGATATGCATCGATAAACTCTTGTCTACTTTTAAACTGAAACCAGACAAAAACATTATTAAATAAATTAGTCTTTTAAGTTTAAACTAAAAAAAAGCTTAATATTTACTTAAATAAATTATGATACTTAATTTAACAATTAAATCATAAAATTTTACTTGTAGAAATTTTCCAGAATTTTAAATGCATAAAAAAAATTTTTTTTTTTGCAATAACTGATTTTTTATAAAAATTTCAAGAATTTTTAAATGCTAATTTTAGTATATTAAATTAGTGACAAAAATTTAATTAAATTAAATTAACAATATTTTTTCTCAATAATTATCCTTTAAATTTGTTTAAGAAAAATAATAAAATTAAAAAATGAAAATTAAATTGCCGACATTGAAAAATTTTTGGTAATTATTTACAAGTGGGGTAAACCCATGCTAGCCTATCTTAATTTTTTTTAATGTTCGTTTTTTTATGTACTTTCCATAAAAATATATATTAAAAATATTAAAAAAAAATTAAATTAGAAATTTTATACAAAAATATGAGAGCCAAAATTTTTTCTAATTTTTAATGGCAAAAAATCTATTCAAATCTTCATTTATTTATGGTAAATATTTACAAGTGGGGTCAATCATGTGTGTAATTTTCATTTTTTTCAACGAAATTTCTATTTGATTTTATTGATATATTTTTCTTTTTGAAAAGTACATAAAAAATGAACAATTTAAAAAAAAAGTTGATTATCGTCAAATTTTAACAAATTTTTTAGAAAATCGTGCTATTAAACTTTTTTTATTTTAAATTATTCGTTTTTTTCTGGACTTAAAAAAAAATGTATCAAAAAAAGATAAAATAGAAATTTTATCCAAAAATATAAGAGCCAAAATTTTTTCCAATTTTTAAAGGCAAAAAATCTATCAAAATCTTCATTTTTTCTTTTACGACATTTTTAATCATAAAACAAGCAGAATTAAAAAAGAATTTGAAAATGTTAATTTTTCACCTAGCATATTGCCCAAAATGGGGTTGACCCAACTTGTAAATAATTACCAAATTTTTCTAATTATTTTGTTAAAAAAAATTATTTGAAAAGTTTTAAAAAAATATTTTTTTTACTTATAAATTTTATTGAAAAAAAAAAAAAAATAAAAAATTGTCAAATTTTTGCTAGCCTTATTAATGACACAAAAATTAGCGGACGTTAAACAATTTATTATTTTTTTCATTAACTAAATTACAAGTAAAAAAAACACTAATTCTCATACTCTATTATCATAACAATTTTATAAGCGCGTAATTTAAAAACAATCGTTTGAAAAAAAAAAAAAAAAATTGCAGTGGATGAGTGAAAGGAATTAATGACATGCAATATTCCAGGAGTTAAATTTCTTCCTTTTTGATTATTATTTTGATTTCATGAATTTTGCATGAGCCAGATAGCGATTAGAATACCGAAGCTCTGGCTTATCCCCCGAAGTGGGCATTTAATCGATTTCTACGTGTGATTTCCGGACGTGTAGAACAGCCAGAAGTAGCTAGCGAGCTGCTCGAAAGCCAGGGAACTAGCCAACCAGCTTCGTCAAGAGGAATCCAAATCCAAATCCAAACCAGCGAACAACGAATGGAAGGTATCACCAAGCTCTGCAGAAACCAGCGCTCTGGTCTGATATTACACCAGTAATCTCTATCAGGAAGTAGTTGTACGTCAAAAACATGCATACCTTATCTTCCAGCATCTCCAATCTATTTAGTTTCATTTTTATGTCGCT